TGGGGGCACTGGCCGCCTTTGCAGATTGTGTCATCTCCAATGTCTAGGCAGTGCTTTTCCCACGTATCCCAAAGAGACAAGTATGTACATCTATCTTTGAAAGAGGGATTTTAGGTACCTTACAAAGGAACAACCTGAGAGATCATTCCTATTTCTCAAATCCAACTCTCCTCTCCACCCTCATTACTGCCCAGCATCTCTCAGCTGGATGATACCATGCAATGTAATACAACTCCCCCAAAAACCATTTCCTTGGGGTCACATCTGCCACACTCTACCCCACACAGCAGTCAAAGTGCTCCTTGTAAGAGGAAACTGGGATCATTTCATTTCCTTGTTTATAAAACGATGTAATACCTTCCTGTTCTCAAAATGAAATCCTAACTCCTTAATGGGTTTACCTGGCCTGGCCCCTGACCACCTCCCCCATAACTCCGCCCTCGCGACCACCTGATCATATTGGCCTCCCTTCCTCCAAGTCAATAAATGCTCTCTTGCTGAAGGACATTTGCACATTTCACTCCCTCAACCTGGAATACTTTTGCCCCATTCTTCCCCCTGCCACCTCTTCACCCTTTTGGTCCCAGCGGTGCTGTCACTTCTGAGAAAACTTCCCTGGCCCTGTTTGACTGGCCCTGCCAGTCACTTCCCACCACCACTTTTCTCCAATAACATATTTTTCTCCAAAGCACTCTTCACAACATGTGATAATTATGTGTATATATTGCTGGGGTGTGTGTGTGTGTGTGTGTGTGTGTGTGATTATTGGTTTATGGTCTCATCTTTCCCATCTCTATGAGGGCCAGGCTCACATCACCTTTGTCTAGCAAATGTCTGGCACAGAGCCTAAGACATAGTAGGGACACAATAGGTGTTGGATGAATAAATTGATGTGCTAGGCACAGGCTGGGCATTGGGAATGCAGAGATAATGAATGCCATGTGGAAGCTCAGTATAGTGGCAGAGACACTAACAAGTACCAGTACAAGGTGCAAAGCGCAGTTATAGGTATGAACAAAGTGATAAGGGAGCTCAGAGAATGGAGCTGAACGTGGGTCATAAATGGGGCAAGTAGGTGGAAAGAGAACTGGATGGAATGTAGGCAGGAAGTAAACCTGTGATTGGCAGGGCCTGCAGGCCCTCTCAGTCAGGAAAAGGCCAAAGGAGCAAACGGTGGGCTGGCCTAGAACCCTTCTGAAAGCAGTATGCCCTCTCTTTTACATGTGTTTTTCCTTTCCTCCTATGGAAAGAGAGGTTGCAGATCGTCCCACCTGGGAAAGGAGTACAAATAAACTTCCAAATCTTTCTCCCACAGAACATTCCCCAAACTCCCTCACTGAGCATTACTGTAACTACGATAATGTGCGTTTCTCAATCTGATGTTTTAAGTCTTATTATTCAAAGAGCTCTAAGATCTCCCTCTCCCTCTGCCCTCCACACAAAGCCTAGTGGGTTGAAAAGAAAGTTAACAAATAGCTATGATTGCTCCAAAGTACACGCCAAGCATATTTTCTAAGCAATGTAACAGAGATGCGCTTTT